CATTTATAAATAATTCCTAGTTATTATTAATATATGTTGCATAATTAAAACTAATTAATTAATTTTAATCACTATAATTTAATATTTATGAATAATTAATATTTATTTATCATTAATAATTAATATTTACTAAGGCCGTGTTTGGCAACTCGCTGATAAACTAATTGGTAGTTGATAAATTAGTTGGTAGCTGATAAGCTAGCTCTTAAGCATCGTTTGACAAAAATAATCTAACAATAATAAATAAATATTAATAAATTTTAAATATTATTATTATTAATTACTAATCAACATAAAATGAAAATAATTATTAATAAATTTTAATTATACATTAATATTAATTATTAATTATATCAATTATTTTTATTCTATTATTTTTTAATTATTATTCAATATATTTAGTTATTAAAACGCAAATATAACAATTTTAATAATATTTATGTAACATAAAAATTAAAGTTATACTTATTTTGTTTCATAGATAATAGAAACGTGTTAAATAACTTAAATAAACTATTAATTTATTTATTAAAAAATTAAGTATTAATTGATTAAGATATGTGAAATAGACCATCTTTTAACTCTATGATAGTTATGAAATGAGTGAAAATTGAATAAGAATAGCAAATATGTTATAGAAACTTGTGAAACTCAATTCAAAGTCATTCAATAACTTTTGATATAATTTTTTAATTATGATTTATATTTTTCTACATGTGGGTTTTTCTAGTAAGGATGTTTGTGTGTGTATGTTTCATAAGTGATGTATTTTTATGTTTATTTTTTACATGTAAAATAATTCTAAATGTTTTATAAACAAAATAGTTTTTATAAACACAATATATGGCGATTGATTTGTAGGTTTGTAATATTTTTTGTGGAATTGTAGTTCTCTTTTATATGGTTCTTTCTAAAACTATATTTATTTTGTATTTAGTTTTATATATACCTATAACAATGATCTAAACAATAAGGGTGGTGCCTGATTGATTTGAGTTTGGGCTCTAAAAGTCCAAAAAAAGAATAAAAATCTCATTTTAGCCACGAAGGTTCAAATACGATAACTCTGAGCTACCCGTAAAGTAAGTGATCATCATAAGATTAGTTGACTCGGATAATGAATTGAATATTCAGGTTAATTAAAAAAAACATTAATCTATACATTTATTTTAAAACGAAATTGATTTTTGATTTATAAACATATATAAGTTGACACACTTTTTTTTTTTGCATGTGATGGTCATAATATATGTTTGAATAAATTATAGATTTGGTCCCATGGTTTGTTAAAAATTACGGATTTGGTAATTAAATTTTATTGATTGCACGTATGAGCCTCCATGCTAGTATTATGTTGCAGACCGAGTCCCTCATCCCAAACATCCATCCATCTTATTCGCTAACTACGAAGGTACAATGATCATTTTTTATTTTCTTTAACTTTTTTATTTTTAACATCCTTTTCTAACAACATACTTTCCTTCTTCTCTCTCCCTTAATCACGATAACCTCATCCCCTTACTGTCCCCCAATATCCATGTGTCGTTTTTGCACCATTTTCAACGATGCATATCTTAATCGGCACACATCAAGCTTTCCCGACAATCCGACACTATGAAGATGGGTTTTCGTCAACAATATGGATTGAATTTCTCCCACTGACATTGTGGATCTAGGTTTTTCATTCGTCGACAGTAACAACACACCGATTTCTTGCAGAAAGTATTTCAGAATGTGATGATGGACTGATTTATTCTAGACATAATTATGAACAAAATGCTTTAGATAGTTAGATGGATGTTCGGGCATTAAGGAATGATGCTTTTATAGGCGAAAGGCCATGGTGGTAAATTTAACCATTTCATTCTCATAATTAATGAAGATAGTGCATGGCCATTAGAGTAAAGAATCAAATTCAAAATGAACTTCAAACAAAAAGGTTTATCATGTAATAAATAAAATTTAAGAACCAATTTTATAATTTTCAATAAATTATAGGGACCAAATCTATAAATTACTATATATGTTATTTTATTATATATATCATATATTATATACTTAAAAAAAACCTTAATATACAAATACATATAAAAGTAAGCGTATAAATTAAGGTCGCCTAGTTGTCCCCTACTCCGGTGACTTCGGACGCACCTCATCTACATTTTTTTAGATCTAATATAATAAATTTATATCGAATCGTTGTATTAGAATGCTTAAATGATCAAAATTTAAAAATTAAATTATATTTATATTTTAGAGATTTTAAAGTTTCATACTAATATATTATCGATAGCGTGTCATAAATTGCTGATACAAAGTTTTCACATTATACTACCAGTTTTGTACACCAAATTTAATTTAAACGATTCAAATCCCCTCTTATTTATTTAGCCTTTTGATTGACCATATCCATTTCTCTTCTCTCTCAATCACCGGCGCCGGAGGATCTTCTGTGAAGCGTCAGAGGTTTAGTTGTTAACTTTCCGGTGACTCATCATATCTATGTACGTTGCTTAATTTATGTAACAAGACGTAGAGAAAGAGATCACTAATGGCGTCAAGGAAAACGGCGATGTGGATTGTTTCGATATTGATGGCGATTGGTGCAGGTGGAGTTGTAGGTCACAGGAACGCTTATGCGACGATGATGTACATGGGGACTGCAAGGGACTATGAGTTCTACGTTGCTATACGAGTTATGCTTAGATCGCTCATCTTGAAGCTTCGAGTGAATGCAGATCTGGTTGTCATTGCTTCTCTTGACGTTCCTCTTCATTGGATACATGCTCTGTACGTACATTCATCACTTTCTCTTTCTAAATTCATCGTCATCTCTCTCTCTCTGCTTGCTTCCCTTGTTTACTATGTTACGCTTCCTTTTTTGGCGTCGTTTAGCAAGTGTCTATCAAAGGCAAACAAATCTATGCATACTCCAATTACTTCTTAGCCCTTACACCACTTGTTTCTATCGTTTAATTGATCTACAGGATTTTAATGAAAATTAGTGGTGGTTAATTAATGATTAATAAGTGCAGGGAAGAGGAAGATGGGGCAAAGGTAGTTCGAGTTGAGAACTTAAAGAACCCATACAATAACCATGACAGATTCAAATTAACACTAAACAAGGTGTATGCATGGAGTTTAGTCGAGTATGAAAGGGTTATCATGCTCGATGCCGACAATCTATTCCTTCAAAACACAGATGAATTGTTTCAGTGTGGCCACTTCTGTGCAGTCTTCATCAATCCTTGCATCTTCCACACAGGCCTCTTTGTATTGCAGCCATCATCCAAGGTTTTTAAGAACATGTTACACGATTTAGATATCGGAAGAGATAATCCAGATGGAGCTGATCAAGGTTTTATTGGAGGATATTTCGCTCATCTTCTTGACCAACCCATGTTCCATCCACCATCTAATGGCACCAGACTTGATGGTACCTTCAGACTCCCTTTGGGATACCAAATGGATGCTTCATATTATTGTAAGTTGCACTTCACTTCAAATTTGTTACTTTCTCTCTAATTCATGACTATATATATATATTATATATATGCAGATCTGAGATTAAGGTGGAGTGTACCATGTGGACCAAACAGTGTGATTACGTTTCCTGGTGCACCATGGTTAAAGCCATGGTACTGGTGGTCATGGCCTGTTCTACCACTAGGCATCCAATGGCATGAGCAACGTCGAGAAACTCTAGGGTATGAGTCAGAGATGCCTTTGGTGCTAATCCAAACCATCGTGTACCTAGGGATTATAGCAATCACTCGTTTGGGTCGACCCACAACGACTCTAACTAAGTTATGCTATCGTGGTGCAGACAGGAACTTAACCATCATTCAAACAAGCCTTAAAGCCATAGCCATATTCTCCATTCTCATATCGTATACACTCCCATTCTTGCTAATCCCTCATACTGTCCACCCAATTTTCGGGTGGACTTTATATTTACTAGGGTCGTTTGCACTCTCGTGTTCAGCGATCATTGCGTTTCATCTCCCGATGGTGGCTGTGGTGACCCCTTGGGTGGGGATCGTAGGAGTTCTTTTAGTTATGGCATTCCCGTGGTATAATGATGGGGTGGTGAGGGCGTTGTCGGTTTTCGGGTATGCATTTTGTTTTAGCCCACTTTTGTGGATCTCAATGGGGAAGATTGGATCATCGCTTCATAGTTCACTTGGAAGGGAAGCATTAAATTTATTGCCAAGTAGAGTAGTGACCGTTTCAACTCAGCCTGATCATGGTTTTAATAAGTTATATTAATAAGTTTGTATGTAGAAATTTATGACCATACCTAATCAAAAGCAAAAGGTAATTCCCTCTTTTTTTTGCCTCGTCATGTAAAAATATCGCGTTCACCTGTTTGATCAAGAACAATCTAATAGCCTCAAATTTTTTTAATTAATAAATTAACTTATATTAAATATAAATAAATTAATAAGGGCAATAATGTAATTAAGTAATTTTTATTATTTTATTTTAATTAGTCATTTTTTTAAAGGCAAAAGGAAAGACAAGGAAGAGAGCTTCGACAAGGCCATCACCCTCCCCAAACCAACCACTATATTAAAACAAGAACAAATCTAGCAAGAAGCTAGATACAAGAAAATACAACGATACCAAAAACACGAGGGGCAAAAAGACGAAACCAAGACATCCCCTTACAAAACCAATGTAAAAAAAAACCTATCCCAAACAGACGGGAGGACAAAAACAAAGAGACTAAATAAAATAGGGAGAGGAAGACCAAACTTCCCAATTATACCTTTTTTTTTGCACGTTCGTTTCCACTCTCTTCTCTCCCCTTGTGATAATTGTGTGATTGTGTAACCATAACCTGTCGAAACCATGATCAATCAAGTGTAACCATAATCTATCGAAACCATGAGTAATCGTTATGATAAATGTGTGATTATATAACTGATCGAAACCATGATCAAATTGAGTGTGCAAGTGATGTTATAATAGTGATATCACATTATTATCACACCTATATCACACCAAATCGTTTAGTGGATTTCGCCCGTAATCATTGTGATAAATGTGTGATTGTCTAATCCTAACCTATCGAAACYATGAGTAATCGTTGTGATAAATGTGTGATTGTCTAACCCTAACCGATCGAAACCATGATCAAATCAAGTGTGTTGTTATGATAGTGATATCACATGATTATCACACTCATATCACACCAAATCGGTAGTCGATTTTCTAAGTTAACCCTAGC